ATGAGCCAGTGTCATATATGTACCGCATATGACAGTGGTATCGCATAAAGAATTGACACCTTCAAGTCAAGGTCCAAAGCGATGTCCAAGAGACCACGAGACTTTCCTTTATCCTTTCCACACGTGTACAGAACGTTGACCTTCCGAAGAATGTTATTGTCGTCGAAGTACTCGATGAAGTGAAGGCCTTTGGGACTCCTGGTGTACAGCTTCATGTCGAAATTGGTGATGCTGAACTCTTTGGATGTGTGAATCCGAGCGTTGTCCACTAATACTTCCGTGTGATGACCCTTGTACGTCTTTTTGAACTGAACCGTCTTGAACAATCGCTCAAATTGCTCATGCACCAACACATTGTCCATATACAGATCGCCTCCGATGTTGATGGATCCTGAAGCTGAGTTTTCGTCGAAGGTCAAGTCGCTGAGCCTCAACAACTCTGAAAACGCCGCCGTACACTCGTCTATTTCGTCGGAATCGAGGAAGAAGGTTGGACCGCAGTCACGCAGAACGAAGAATCCACAACTGACCTTATCAATCCATCCCTGGCAACCATCGTATTGCCGACCTCATCGTATCGACGAAAACTACCCTATGGAGACCCTCCGAAGATCCTAAAAATGGTGTGGCTAGATTTCTCATCACTTTTTACCTGTTTTAGTATTTTGAAATAATAAATAATTAACCCGTGCAACTTGGAAATTTTTTGAATCGATAAGAATTTGTCTTATTTCAAAGACTAAAAATTCAAATTGAACATTATATGCGCTAGGTATGCAGTAATATGATAATATCAATATAGACAATATCGATTTCGATATTATCGAAAGTCAATATTATTGATCTCAATAATATTGATCTTCGATATTTTATCGATGAGTAAATGTGAGAGAAAGTACAGGAAAGAGACAGCTCATAAAGAAATTCAGTGGCAAGATGGTTAGCAGACACCGACTACAGGATTTCTAATGAGAATTCTGAGCTGCCCTTACAGAAGCGGGGTAATTCTTGGATTTTGTTGATCTATCTTTTCCTATTTGTTGATACAGAGCGTATTTTCAATCTAGTTCGCGTACCGTACGCTTTGAAACAAAGGGGTACGCGTAATGTTAGAAGCACTGACCGACTGTATGCTAGCGTCATCATTCTGATTGGCTCTACTAATGAATGCATTTAAGGAGAAAAGATTCTTTTTTTTGTGATACACTACATTTTCGTGATCGAAATAAAGAGGCTCGATAATATTATCCTCAATAATATTGATTTCGATATTATTGCTTCAATATTTCAATAAAATATCGATATTAGTGCATGCCAACACGCCTCTCACAAACCTTTTATTGTCTTTCTTGTCTAATAAATACACCACAAGCATTAGATAAAGACAATATTACTAGATCAGGCAAGTGAGTTAGAGAATAAATCCTATCATCTTGTTTTACGACATGTTCAAGTTACACTAAGCTGCTTCCATGATCAGTTCAGTGCAAAATTACCTTCGAGTGTAAGTAACGCTATTCACTTCAACCAGAAAGTCTTATTTCTAGTAATCTTTGTAGTTAATATCTGAACGTTATTTGCTTCTACATAGCACGTAGGATCATTGTAATCGGTTGTCGATCTACTGAAAGATTACAATATTTCTTGGAAGGTCGTAAATTGTAAATTACAAACTCGATATTTTTTAGCGGAAAAAACGCTTGCTGTACGGCACCCACCAAAAACAGTAAAAGGAAAAAAGTACTCAACTTAGGGTATTAGGACTTACTGTAACGGATATTATCCAGATAGAAAAATTATCTGACCCATTGTCACACCGCAATGGCGTTATAAACATCATAACGCGATACGTGCGAATCAATAATTACTCGCGAGGCATCGTAACAGATTGATATCAAGATATATCTGGATAGTAGTCGATGCTAGAAAGTACAGCGATAAAAAATCTGCCATATTCGTTGTCACACTGGGATGCATTCATGAGGCAGCGATATACTGGGATATATATCTGCCTAAAATAAGTATCGGCGCATATCGCCCTGCAACGTATATCCCGCTGCATCGCGGTGTGGCAACGGATACGGTAAGTTCTTTATCGCGGAAAAGACCTTATGGGCTGTACTACTGACGTCATTACGCTTCCTTTTCATCTGTTTCCCGTATGTTCAACTATATGTTAATTTTATGTAAAAATTACCCAACATAAGGACAACCCATGTGTTTTACCAAACTCTTTGTGTGTATTAGCTTCAGTTCATTATTCAATAACTAATAACTTAGTGTCAGTTTATATATTCGAATTACCCTGACCATGATTACAATTTCATTCATTTAGGTGATACAAGAGGAGAAAAACATTGTTTGAATCCTAACCAACGTGTCTGTGTGAATAACAAAAGAAAACGCATTCGTGCGTGACTGATTTGTGTTTTTACAAATAAGTTCTTTACATACATTCATCGAGCTTTTGTAAGCAAGTTAAAGTACGTATACATGAAAAAACAGTCTCTTTCAGTGGAGAACTAAACATCAAGAAGTTTTAATTCATGTTTTTCCGAAGATACTATCTTAAAGAATGAGGCGAGCAGTGACCGTTTTATGAGGGATTTATCGATCACTGGAATCTTTTTTTGAGGTAATATATGTAATGTGATATATTGACTTCACTGTGTAGGGGTTCATTGTGATTGCGAACTAAAATGACATCATATTTTATGAAAACAATTATCGGTCAACAACTGGATGAAATTGTGGATAACATAGGTGGCAGCAGCGATGATGACAAAGAACGACGGGATTACAGTTCGTCTGAAAATGATCCGAGTACTCTAGAAGCAAGACGTATCGCTGAAGAACAACGAAAGGCCAAATATGCAAAACAGGAAGCCGATCGAGAGGTTGTGCGACAACAAATCCGAGATAAATATAATATTAAAAAGAAAGACGAACCATCACCAAATACAAAGCGTCCACATCTTTCACATCTAACAGGCCGAAGCACTCCTGAAAAGAAAGCGCTAACGTCAAACGAACGCCACCAACCAGATATTTACACTCCCCAACCGCAACAGAACGAAACAGTTAATAAGAAGGACTCAACTATGTTTAGTTCCATCGTCGAAAAATTGTCATTTAAACTTCCATGGAATTAACAAAATTTGATACGTAGTATTTGACGTACGGATAAATGTTCCCATATAACCAACCTGACATATATAATTCTCACGAGGGAACCTTTCCAGATGTAACACTTCGTTTCCAATGATTTATGTGCTGATCGATAGAGGATAGCGAGCTAGTAAAAGCTCTAAAAGGATTTGAGCGCATGGTACGTCTGTCAAAAATATGAATGCTTTATGTTTGTCTGTGCAAGGGAACCTACTAATACTAAAAATTCGGTAACTTAGTCAAAACAGTGAATTAAGAGCTGAAAAGTTTTCGATTACTATGCCAGACATGTATTAATAGCGCAGAAAGATCCAGCCTTCTCGCTCTAGTACTTACTAAGTTATTGAATTTTTCCTACTTAAGAACAACCATGTGTTTTTCCAAACTCTTTGTTTATATTAGCTTCAGTTCATTATTTAATAACTTAGCGAGTACTAGAGCTGGAGGGTTGAACCTTTCTGTGATACTAATAGATGTCTACCATAGTGATGGAAAAAAATTTCAGCTCTTAATTCGGTGTTTTGAGTCTTCTTGATACTTATCGTCTAAATGAATAAAGTTGTAATTATAGCCCAGGTAATTTGAATATATAAATTACGTCTCCGTTTTCTGCTAAAGTTGACCTTTTGGTTATTAAAATAGGCTAAGTTTGAATTTTTTCTAAAAACCGCTCCGTACAAAGGACGGGGGCAACTATTTGATGGAATCGGCCCCTGCTGATTAATCACGCATGGTGACTTTCCTTTAAAAGAATTGCAAGGTAATTGTACCTTTCCATTTGTAAAAAAGAAATCCATTTTTCATCTTTTGTACTGGAAATGGTTTTAATAAATAACACAAGTAAAAATAAATACGTCACTCTGTGAAACATCACATTCTTATTGCGAAACAATTTGTTCTCTTTCTCACATAAATCCGAATTCTTTTACAAATATTGTGCTTGGTTTACCTTTGGCGTGTAAAGAAGATTACACGTTGCAATCGAAACGCCTAGATAATTGTTGATTATAAATAAAACTTTACGAAGACAAAGTATACTTTAATAAGAAAAATTACAGATATATAGTGTTAGAATTTGAACAGTGCAAATTTCTTGGTGATGAAAAGAGATTGAGATGAAAAAGAGTTTAAAATTAAGTTGCAGGGGGTACACACACGCTTTACTTATAAAATATGCGTATTTAAGTAATAAATAAACGAGAAGGTGCCGTAATAGCCTTTTTTTATGTTTATGGTTTTAATTTAAATTGGATGTTCAGTACGAAGACAATGATCATTTTTAAATTCATATTTTAATACAAAAAATCAGCTGTAGCAGCTTCAACAATTAACTGCAGACGATTCAGGTTAGACTAAGAAATGGGTAACTTCGGTTTAAGGCTGATCAGTTGCGCGGAATTTCAATTCGGAGCGGCTTAGGATTAATCTGATTTGATGTCTGTTACATGTGGTTTTTGCACCTGTAGTATAACATATCTGGTAACACCATACCAATTTGACAACATACAGTGCGGAGGCATGACTTATATCCCAATCGGGATAAAATCCCGATCGGCCTATATGATTATCCCGATCGGGATAATTTGTCAGTCTACATCATCAATCAATCATTTTTCTGGCCTCCGCTTAACAACTTCAGAAAGAAGACAGATAGAGACCTGCAGTTTTCAGCATTTCGTAAAGGAGGCTTTACCGCATCTTTCGATATTTGGGGTTTTTTGTGAATCGGATTTCCAGGTGGTGTACTTGGTATGTGAAAAAGTAGAAGCTACCAGGTAGCAAAGGCAAAATAATTTTTTCACTAAAAACTTTTAACTTTTCACTCAAGACGTTTAAGCTTCACTTAAGACAATTAGGAAGATCATATTTACTTTCAATACTTCTTGAACATGTTTAGTAATATAGCCCGATCGGGATGCAACGATATCTCGATTCATATCTTGATTATATCTCGGTCGCGATTTATATAAGTCATGACTCCGCACTGGCATATCTGAAAAGTTATTATTCGTTGAAGAAGAAATTCTTTTTTTCTTTCGTACGTTCATCTATTTGAATAATCGTTATTAATATCATTTATTCATCATACACGTCCTATATTCGGATAGAACTAGTAGGTTTTCCATATGAAGATTAAACTGACGTCACTTTGAATAAAATAGAACAAATAATCAAAATCGGTGAGATAATTGAGAGACGCAGGGCTAATCAGGAAAGGCGTGAAAACGTTATGATAGCAACGAAATTTGTCGGTATCCAAATGACCAAAAAGAAGCGTATCTAAAATAGTGGCAAACGTTTTTCTCCTCTAAGACAGTTTTATCTATATTTGATTTTAACATACCATTGGAAAGTAAGAGGGTTTCCCAATAAAGACAATTTTTCAAAAATCAAGTTATTAAAAATTAATATCAAATTAGTTAGTTTTCCAGAAAAACAGTCATTTGGCGTCTTTACTGCAAATTCCTTGGAAAATCGATGTACAGCTCCAACATCGCCCTAGCCAAGGATACTGGAACCCGCATTTTTTGTATCATTCTCAAAATCCGTCTTCATCGCTTTGCATGCAATGTCCAGCTGGCTCCAGGTTTTGAAGAGCTCAGGCATTTGCAGCGGTAAGATTGGCCTGTAAATCTTACCGAGACCAACTGCTGTAACACCTGCACCATCCAGCTGACCAGCTTTCATTGCGGCCTAATCACTCTGTTGACCGTTGTAGAAAAATTGCAGTTCCAACTTGCCATTGCTCTTGCGCTAGGAGCAAGAGTACCAATCTTGATCGCTTCAACACTATTGTCCCTGCGGACTATGTTCCGCCGCAGATCCTTTTTAAATGCTTTCTCGTGGCGATAGTTATTACGACGTTCAACATTATGCATTTCACCAAATATCGAACGGAATTTTGCTATGAAAATATCACCTGAATTTTGATTTTTGTTGTACATAAGAACGATGTACAGTGTATAAAATAATAATGAGTATGAAAATAAATAATTTTAGATTTACATCCATTTGTGTTGCTTTCATCAAACTATAAGTAGAAAAAACAATCATTACCTCACGTAAAACTTTCAATAACACACACATCTAAATTGTAAAATACGAAAGTACTTTGTCTGAAAACAAAATATTATTTTATAATAAAAAAGAAAAAGCTTTCATAATTGATCCATAAAAGCCTTTGAAAATATGAATAAAACGCGGTTTTTATCTATTTAGTCCTTCATTTGTTGGTAATCTTATCTAATAATGGAACCATTTGTGTTACGAGTTACAAATTCGAACTAAACCTTGTGTGAAGTATCAGAATAGGATTCAAACTCATAAATATAAAACGTTAGCTGCAGCTAATTTCTCCATTGAAAGATGTGACTTTTCAATATTTTCGATTTTATTTGCACTAAACTCGTCAGTACGCTGTGCAAAATGATGTTTTTACAATTTTCACCTAAAATGAAGACGAAGTTTCATAACTGAACAATAGTAAAAAAGATATTTCCTACACAAAGTGTAAGTAAAAACTGTCCAATTTTTACAATCAATCATTGAGCAATAAAGACTATCAAATGTGAAACAAATGTCCTTTGGCTTCTCAATTTTCTCGCGTATTTCACTGATGATTGTTCAAATTGTTCAAGTTTCAGCATCGGTATAGTATTTTAAATATTGCTGTCTAAGACGACACACAGCTGTTCAATTTTATGAGCGAAAGAGAAACAGTAAATAGTCTATGGATCGATTCTTTTCATTCCTGTCAATAAGTACAGAAATATTCCACAATTAGGCAATCAATGCTTAAAAATTACTAGACTACAAAAATCTTTATATGAAATGTAATTTACCATCCAGTTCTATTCGAATATAGGACATGTATGTTTAATGAATGATATTAATAACAGTTATTTAAATAGGTAAATACATAGAAGAAGAAAATACTTTCTCTCTTTGCGAATAATTGCTTTTCAGATATATGATGAATTACCTGTTATATCGCTTATGCTTCTCAATTATCATTCGAATCATCATGCTTCTATAAAACGCAACAGTGTATCGAACATGAGGACAAGAATCATTCTAACTTCGAAAGACCCAAAAGAGCAAAAACAAGATCTCAATAAGTTAAAAGAAATGCTCATGAAGTCGAACTATCCATCCCATGAGGTAGACAAGCAGAATGCCAACACTATGCGAGCAACGTCAGGCCCGCCTCCAGAAAAAGAAGAGAAAAAGGATAAGTTCAAATACACCGTTTCTTTATCTTATGTAGACAGACGGTATCGGGGTGTTACGAAGAAGGTTGAAGGAGCTGAAAATTAAGATCTTCTTCTCGTATCCGAACAAGATTCAATCCGCATGCACTAGATCAATGAAACCGCAGTCCAAATCAAACATCTATCAAATACCGTGCGAATGCGGAGCAACAAACGTAGGAGAAACGAAAGTAGGTTTTCACCAACGAATGATCCAACATGAAAAGTTAATCGAACAAGATGACGATAACTCAAAGTCCGAAATGGTCCAACATCACCATCAAAAAGGGTGGCAATGCATGTTAGATACAGAAAAAGCGTTCATTATCGAAGATGAAATTGACAGGCGGAAAAGGAGAATCAAAGAGTCGATATATTCAACTGTTTCTCAATCAATTAACAGACGAAATGAAATTGAGAAATTATGGACGCCATTGCTTTATGAAGTAGAACCATCGATAAAAGGCATCATATCGAGTCGAGAAAGAAATTTCAGCGACAAACGATCGGTTCAAAGGCAGGACGGTGATAGTGGGACGGCAGAAGAAGAAGAAGATTAATGATCTCCCTCCTCCAGTATCACCGTCTTGCCGTCCCGCTATCATAGAGCATAAGCGAAAGAACGAGAAACAATATGTACGAACGAAAAAGAAGAAGAACTGTCGAGAAGGAGTGTGTGCGTGTGTAAATAAGAGAGTGTGAGTGTATGCATCCTGGGTGTTTCCACGCAGGTCCGCCCATTTATACAAAAGTTTTGGCCGGGTGGATCTCACTATGCTCATTAGATAGAGCATGCCAAGTTACATATAAATCGATATTTTTTATTGACAAAAGTTAGGCCGTTGATGGTGAACCAGTGCTTGGAAAAGTACCACCAATTACTTAGTTGGAAC